AGTAATAATAACTTTCACTGTATATAATTCGTATTTTCCATACTGTCACCAGACGACTGTTGGCCATTTGTTAGAAATTTCGAAAACAGCTGTTTTCATAAAATCGTACCGATTGTGCAATCAATATTTAGTTATAAATATCACTACCACAATGAAGATAAAATCAATGGCTATCCAGTGGTATCACCCGCAACATCCCAAGACGAAAATTACCCGAGCAGGGTAATGCCAAACAAGACGTGTTTTGCCAGTTCCCAAGTGTCGGCTGCAAAAGTCGTACCGCGCCAAAATTTCATTTGATTTCTAATCGTCGTGACATTGTTATATACCTGCTACAGGGTTTGTTTATGTAATCAAATGAAAGTTCAGAATGTGATCTTTCGAATGGTATATATATTATTCTAATCTGAGTTGATTGTAAGTGTTTTTTTTACCGTTAAAAAAATGTCGGCCCATACCGTAACCAGACGACTTTGGCCATTCTAAGCATCAACGTCATACCGTAACCAGACGACGGTTGGCCACTGCTAGGGTTAAAAAAACAAATAATTTAGTATATTGAAGCGTTATAATGCACCTAATGGTTACGGAGAAAATTTCAAAAAAATGTAAATTTAAAATTCCCATGTTATTCTTATGGAGAATAAGTAAACTGTTGTAGTTTGCTTGTTTATTAACATTTTTTGCCCAAATTTGGTAAATGTTTTTATTTCTTACTAACTATTAACATTTTACATAAAAAACACTTTTACCCTCCCTGTTGCAGCAAACCTAAGTATGTGTTAAACTGATTGTATTTAAATAGGGAATAAATGTGATATTTTTAAGGAGACATTTTAGTGTAAATCCAATCAGGCAAATGGAAATTCGCTTAGTCTGCAGTTTTGCTGCGGCGGGGGTATTGTTATTTTCTGACATTTTTGACTCAATGCTAGCTTCCAGGTTTTTGCTATTTTCTGACATTTTAGACTCGATATTAGCTTCTAGGTTTTCTAACGTTTTACTAGTTTCCGACATTTTTGACTCTAGGTTTTTAAGCATTTTGTTCATATCAGATGTTTCAAATAAAAAGTTATCTGGATCTTCACCTGCATCAGTCAAAGCTTGTTTAAGGCGTGCCTGAAGGGCTGATTTAGTTCCATTGGTATCTAGATCACGTTCTTCTAATTCTCTTCTAAGATCAGCTACTTTTAATTCATCAAGTTTTACACCTTTAAAAGCCATTCTTCTACCAAACAATTACAACTATTTTTACAATAAATTGTTATTTTTCAGATGATACAAGTTCATTAATAGCAATAAATTAATTTTTCTGTACACAAATTTATGACACAAACTACTAATATGTAACAAAAACCCTGATTCTTTACTAATATCTAATACGACTAAAATAAAACCCAATATTTTACAATAAAAATCGCCAAAATAATGCCGCTTTCTGACACCAATTGTTGCGGGCTTAACCGGTTCTTTACAATAAATCTTGGAGATTTTATAATAGCTATTTTATTTACACTAATTACTATCTATTTACAAATATTACAATTACCTAATACCTAACTAACCCTATCTAAACCTAGCTAATGCCTATTCTAATTTACAACGTTTCTACTTACAGCTAGCCTCTACAGGATTTATCACTACTTCTGTTACAACACTGTCACTACACTGTCACTTCACTGTATCTACACCATCACTACACTGTCACTGCCACTAGCACTAGCACTGGTCACTAACACCGACGGGCGCTTGCCGCGACGATTCTCGGAAGGCTCAACTCAACTCAACTGCCGTGTGCCGGAAGACGGTCCCTTATATAAGTTTACCGTGGAACATTCTGGAGACCCCTAGTAGCTTAGACAAAGGTGTTTACAGATCACCGTGGAAGCTTCTGGTGGATGTCAAAGACCCTATTGACGTAGTCCGTTGACATGGGTCTATTGTCTTTCGGAGAACCCCGTGTTGACAAACAACCCTTTTGAGACGGCGCCTGGCTATTGTTGCGCGGGACTCCTGACTTGTAACAATACAATGTCAGTTTTTTGAGTTATGGGATTAAAAAGATAAAAAATGTACTTAAGTCTCATTTGACTTTTGAAAGGTTGAAATGTACCAAAAATAAATACAGTACTATCTATTTAAGGGATCTACAGGGTGACCGTTAAGTCTTAGGACGACTTTATAACTTTTAAACGACAAACGATATCACAACCACATTTGGTATACCGTTACTGGAAATTGGGAGCTACTTTTCTGTGTGCATGGTGGTCGGATATCACCTTTGGGGGACGGGCCCGTCGGGGGTCAGAAGAAAATCTTTAATGACAGCCTATGTTGAGTTGTACATCATTTTAAAGGTCTACTTCAACTGAAAACAATGCCGCAAACCGCACTTCAAAAAGTTGATCCTGCGCAAAATGGTAGATGTTCAAAGATTTTCAAAATTAGCCAATTTCTTTAAATTAAAACACTTTTTTAAATCTTTAAACAACTGTCATTTTTTAACGGATGGTCCTTTTGAAGTACAGTTTGCGGCATTCTTCTTTGCTTAAAATTCCCTTTAAAATGATCTCCATAACTTCACATTAAGTGATCCAAATAACTCTTCAGGGCGACGGCCCACAAGGAGTCGGAAGTAAATCTTGAATGGAAGCATAGGTTGATATGCGCATCAAATTAAAGGTATTTATTAGTAGAATACAATGCCGCAAACCGTACTTCAAAAGGACCATCCGTTAAAAAATGACAGTTGTTTAAAGATTTAAAAAAGTGTTTTAATTTAAAGAAATTGGCTAATTTTGAAAATCTTTGAACATCTGCCATTTTGCGCAGGATCAACTTTTTGAAGTGCGGTTTGCGGCATTGTTTTCAGTTGAAGTAGACCTTTAAAATGATGTACAACTCAACATAGGCTGTCATTAAAGATTTTCTTCTGACCCCCGACGGGCCGTCCCCCAAAGGTGATATCCGACCACCATGCACACAGAAAAGTAGCTCCCAATTTCCAGTAACGGTATACCAAATGTGGTTGTGATATCGTTTGTCATTTAAAAGTTATAAAGTCGTCCTAAGACTTAACGGTCACCCTGTATAATTAGGGTCAACTAAACACAGAAAAGATTGTGTTCACAAAAGCAAATAAAATCTCCAGGCTGAAAGGTAGACTATACATTTTATAAAATGACTTTGAAAAGAATATAAAATTACTCATTTTTTTACTCTCTCTTAAACTCATAAGTACCATCCTTAGATAAAAATGCAGAGACGGTGAACTTTTTGTATAGCAATGTTTTGTGTATCGTCTGCAGTTTTGTGTGTCGTGTAAAGTTTTGTGTGATCCTGTGCCAGATTGGACTCATATTCAGGTAAGCCTGCTATCCATACAAAAAAATCCAACAAACGTAGACCCTTGTGCTCTATTCTTATCGTCCTTTTTTTCAGAGAATAGTTTTGTCTCTAAAAAGACTTGCAGGTGGAGTAGGCAGTACCTAGGTTTCCCCAATATGTTACACCTCTAACTGTAAATATGAGACTAGTCGCTTAGTCTCATGGTAAGACCTGGACCCGGTACCGATTTACTTTTTCGTTTTGAGGTCCCCAGAGGCCAAAAACACCATCCGTTCAAATCTATAAGTATAAAAGAGGATGTTTGTATATATATTTGGCAGTGATAAACTCAGACACCGCTGAACCGATTGCCACGAAACTTGGTACATACGTGTAGAATTTCATGGAACAGGTTTATACACCATCAATTTCGTGATCCGTCCCACCAGTGGCTCTGGAGTTTCCCATGTTAACCTTATGAGAAATGGAATTAATGAATCTTAACAGCTGTTTCAATTAAACAAGTTTGTTCTGTTCTATGATGTTCAATAGCATTAAAGTTACAAGGATTACCAACAGGGTGCAGCACTATTATTTCTTTTACATTTATGACAACAGCTAAGCGAACGAACCTCAAACTGGAGGCGAGTTAGCGTAGCGAACGAGCTCCAACCTAAAGGTGAGTGAGCGTAGCGAACGAACTTCAACCAGGACGTGATTGAGCCATGCGAACGAGATCATCTTGAAAATTAAGAAGTTAAACGGGGCAAAGCCCGCGGGTTACAGATAGTTCATATATATTTATATATGTGTCCGTTAGCACTATAACTCAAGCAAAAATGATCCGGTTTTGATGAAATTTGGTATAAACCCACATTTATTCGAACGAGTTTGCAAACCAGCATGATTGGACTATGGGGCAGGAGTTTATGGGGGTTTTATGGGGTAAAAGTGGGGTTTTCTCATTTTTCACCCTGAAAACATAACATTTTGCAATTTCTTATTTATAAACCTTTTTGTAGAGCTTAAAAAAAACAAATAATTTAGTATATTGAAGCATTGTTGCATGCCTAACGCTCATGGAAAAAATCTCGAAAAAGTGAAATTTTGAAATTACCATGTTATTCTTATGGAGAATAAATCAACTATTGTGGCTTGCTTGTCTATGGACATATTTTAATGAAATTTTGTTTACTTCATACTAAGCTACTAATATTTCAATAAAAAAACCTATTTTTTCCAATTAAAATTAATGATTTTAAATAGGAAATAAATCTGACAATTTTAATAATTTAGTGGAATTCCAGCCAGGTAGATGAAAATTCGCTTAGTCTGCAGGTTTGCTGCGGCGGGGGTATTATTTGAGATTTTGTTGTTTAGTTTCTTGTACAATAAAAATAACATAAAAACTGATTTTTTCAAAATCGGCTCAAATGTTTTGATTAAAATTTTGTATAGCATGTTATGGTCCTTTTAACTCTAAACAAAATTGTACAACCCCCCAATCCTGTAAAAACTAGGGTTCCAAAATTATTGCAACATATGTGATTTTACCAATAAAATACCTTTTTTACCCCCACCGCTTGCACATGATAAAGGTTTCTGACAAGCCAATGGTCTAGAAAGTATCTGTCAGTTTGCTGATACAGCTTATTTATTACAATGCCACTCACCAGATGCCATGTATGGTCCAGATGTCCTTCTGCTTGGGCAATGCACAAGTGTGGTTGGTAGGACTGGTCTCTTCCCACTCCATACATACTGTGTTGGGCCATTGCTGAGTGAAGATCAGCAGATCCCATTCATTGCTGTTGTACACATGGTTGATTCTGGAGCCCCTGTAATAGCAATGAAAAATTCTTTCAAATCTACGCATTATGACAGTTTTTTTCTCATAACGTATAAGCTTTCTGTAAATACTTACACAGTGTGCAGTGTGGTATTTCTCGTTTTTATTCACAATGTAGCAGTGCGTTGATTGAACAGAAGGGCGAGAGAGACCATGGAGTATAGGAAAAGATGTGTTTATTTCATCAAAGTTCAATTGTCATAATGCAGTAAAAACAATGAGGATGGCAAATTTCTTTATGTTTTCTATCTCTCACTTGATAACTCCTGTGTATACCTTTAGCTTCTGGATGGCGAAGAATAATAAACAATTTTATTGCTTTCCCAATAACTGGTCGTATTTCAACAAAGTAGAACTAGGATAGATTTTGAAAAAAAAAATAGAACATGTCAAATTACTTAGATGCAGCATTGACTCATACTCAATCTGCTAAAATTACATAACCCCGTACTAACAATTAATTTCTGGCCCTTGCAGATTTTGTTTGGATGGATATTGTTGTGTAAATAATAATAAATAAAAAGGACAAAATCAAGTTTAATTAAAGTTCAGCCCATTTTGGCATACATACATAAGGACAGACTCATTGCTAGTCATTCCTCTTTTCCTAGTTGGCAATCCTGCCAGTGACGTAGCATTACCTACTCCTTTTTCCTCTTATCTCTTCTTCTTGCCAATGTCAATACACATTCCCGCCCGCTACCGCTTATCACGCACCAGTTTGTGCCTTGAACTTTCTTTATACCGTGATCGGTTTTAAATTCAACAATTATCGTGTCTCGCCTCTGGGATTATCTTTGTGTCCGTGAACGACGTTATCCACTACGGCAGGATGATCTTCGCTGGACCAAGGGGCCCCTGAGAATTCTACACTCCACACTCCAGGCCGCCGACCACGCTTCGTACAGAGAAGAAAGGATCGGTCGTGAGTGATACTTCAATTTTAATATTAGATAAGACTTCATTAATTATTTTCTTTCAAGTTTCAGATGTGTCATTTTACTGCTCAATTTATTAAAACGTCATAATACAATACAGTCCACTAATTAAATTACGCAACTAATTCAATTCTCAAACAATCCATAACATATTTGGCCTTACGAGTCGGATTATAAACTATTTCGCTATGGATATTGTTATTCAATCAAATTCATTTTAACTGAAACTCAGTTTTATTTTAATCATCCAAAAAGTAAAGCTATGAACATTTCAATCTCGAACAGGAATTTTCATTCAAGATAACAAGTTTCGTGAGTTTGCCGGTATTTCCAACAGGGATGCCAATCGCTGGTGCACAAACTATCAATATCCCTACTTTTCCCACATATCCCGTACGTTCTAGAAAAATCCCTGAAAATCCCTAAAAAAATTCCTAAAATCCCTGAATATCCCTTAAGATCTAAAAATATCCCTGCATCAAAAATTATCCCTATTATCCCGTTTTTACCTTTGTTTACATTTTTAAACAATGAGGTTATATTGACATTTATTAATGAGTGAAATTTATTGAAGTGAATTTTCCTGCCGTTTCATTTAACTTGTGTACACTCATGAAGATTGAAATTGAAAATTGACTCTTTAAAAATTACTGAATATAACTTGAATTCTCTGTGAAACTTGTATCCTCAAGATACTATTTATATTGAAGATTTTACATTTTATTTTATTTCCTGAAGAAGCATATTCTTATTTATTTTTACAATTCAAGAGGATTTAAGATTGATCTACTGCACACATTATCCTTTGTTAATCAGTGCATAATACATGCAAGTTGATAAGCTCACAGTAGAGATTGAAGATTGTTTCTACAGTATCAATATTGATTAAATTTAAATTACTCTGTAAAACTGGGAGTAACTATCAATAGATGCATTGAAGAAAAATATTAATTTTACGGTCAATTTATTTACTGCATTGAACATTACCTCAATTCAAGCACTGTCTATCCTACTATTGAATATTATCAAGTCAATATATGAATGAGTCTGATCTCTGTTCATATGATCATTGGATATTAAGCTTAGCCTATTACTCTATATATATTCTGACATTTATATGCATTTTCATGTGTCAGTAATAATTTCTCACTCAATTTCAGTTGAACTAATGTGTTCTGAAAATTTCCTCATTGCTTAAATAGGCTAATTAATTTCTCTGTGGTATTTTTACAATTATTAGTCCTACAATTATTGGAATTTGGAATAGTGAGAACATGGTTTACACAATCTTTTGTTGCCAACCGCTAACTTCAATTTTATGCACCTAGTGTCCATACTATTTGCCTTGTAATATTTATGCAAACAAAATGCCTCCATTGCGCTTTTGTAATTTTACCAAGCAAGCTTCTCTGATATAACTAAGGTTGAATTCTTTTGAACAACAAGTTACTGCATTCTCAGAGAAGACGGATCCTCTACTAGAAGCAGACTTAGCAAAAATCAAAATTATTGATGAAACTGCTACAAAGAAATGTAATGATTTTGAGTCAATGGTTAGTAAATTATATAGTGCTGATAAACCAGATGAAGATATTAAGGATGCTGATTTTGTTAAACTCCAAGATGAAATCTCTGATCTTTATATTAAAATCCACAGCCTCTGTGCGATTCTTGTTCCCAAAGCGGATCCCAGACTGGACCAATCTTATTCCAGTGTCAACAGCGGTACAGTAGAATTTACAGGTGTAAAACTCCCTACTCTTAAGCTAGGTGAATTCTCTGGCCAAGCTGACAAATGGATAGCTTTTTATAGCTTATTTGAAAGCACTGTTCACAAAAACTCTAAACTCTCGGATGTCGAGAAATTTACCTACTTACTGTCTTGTCTACATGGAGAGCCATTAAATTTGATTAAATCATTGCCCATTACTGCTGCCAATTATCATATTGGTTATCAGCAACTGATTAAGCGCTACAACAATTCTAGGCTATTGATAACACTTCACATAAATAATATAATTGATTTGCCTTCTGTACATAATAGCTCTGTGAAACAAATGAGATAATTTGTGTCATCCCTACAGGAAAATATTAGTGCCTTGCGTGCCTTAAACGAGGACCTCAAAGATGAGAGCATATTTATGACTATATATCTCCTCAGGAAATTTGATAATGATTTCAGATCCAAGTTTGAACATGATAGGACTGATTCACAACAGGTACCAACCATCAAGGAACTCATTGATTTTATTGAAACCCAATGCAATCAACTAGAGGCAGCCAATCTCTCACTTGTACCTTCAAGAATCTTAACCAACGCCAGTATGCAAAGGAGTTCTTCGAGTAATCAAGTAGCATTCAAGTCTACTCGTGGATCTTACCAAAACCGCACTGCCCTACTGACTGCGCAAAATAATTGTAACTTCTGCTATTCGTGTGATCATGTCATATACAAATGCTATAGATTTTCTAATTTAACCCCAGCAGATAGTCTAAAGTTTGTACAAAGCAACTTATTGTGTAATAATTGTTTGGGTCAACATAGTCAGAACTTGCAATTCTCTCCGATCTTGTAATATATGTCAACGTCGACATCATACTATGCTTCATTTGAATGCACAAAGCAACCATCAACCCTCTAACCAATGTCTCAACAGTTCTAAACTATATCAATCAAGGAATAATCCTCGTAAACATACCTCTGATGGATCAAAACCTAATTCTGCTGCTAACAATGCCCCTTCTGAACCCACACAGAGCAATACCTCTGCAACTAAGGACTCTACATCAAATGCTACGGTCTTAGTAGGTTTATCTCATTGCAGTAACAATGTAGTTCTACTAGGAACAGCACTAGTAAATGTATGCACTCCCAATGGAAATAATATTGTCGCACGCGCTGTGCTCGATAGCGCTGCTCAACAAAGTTTTCTCAGTGAATCATGTGCACGCAGATTAGGAATTTCTCGAGTAAAATCATCAAGTCACAAAATTCTGGGAATATCATCTGCTACTGTCTCCACTAAAGGACTCTGTTTTTTTGAACATTACTTCAATGAGAGGCCACGTAGTTGCGAAAAATCATCCAGTTGTTGTACTCGATAACATAACTACTAACCTACCTGCTTGCCACATATCAAGAGAGGTTAAGGATCGTACATTCAACCTGGTTCTTGCTGATCCTACTTTTGATACGCCCGCTCCTGTCGACTTACTAATTGGCGCTGATCTCTTTGCCAGTACCTTCTGCTTTGTTAGTACCTCTTTGAGTGCTAAAGGGTGATGCAATCCCTCTTGGTGACGATATGCCAACTGCCTTGAACACAGTCTTTGGCTACGTATTAATCGGTAATACACCTGTCGAACCTGAAGAAGGCTTTTCATCAATTAATCTACTGACAATTACAAATACTGATCTTCACCAGTCAATTCAGAAGTTTTGGCTTCAAGAAAATGTGCCTGATGCACCATCACTGTCTCCAGATGAACTGAATTGTGAAACCCAGTTTAGAGAAGGTTATACCAGGTGTAAAGATGGAAAATTTCAAGTACGTCTACCATTCAAGCAATCTCCCTCAGTTCTTGGGAATTCTTCTTCTGCACTTTGCATTTTCAAATCATTGGAAAATCGACTAAACCGCAACCCAGAATTAAGGAAGAAATATGTAGATTTTATGAAAGATTATGAAGACTCAGGTCACATGGTACGTTGTTCATCACCTATTGCATTGGAACAACCACATTTCTTTCTCCCTCATCATGAAGTTCTCCGAGGAGAAAAAATTCGTGTAGTTTTTAATGCTTCTGCTGCTACCTCCTCTGGTCTGGCACTAAATCATATTCTTCACTCTGGACCAAAACTACACAACGACATTCCAGCCATCATCATGGGCTTCCGCCAACACCGCATTGTGTTTACATGTGACATTCGTCAAATGTTTAGAAATATTTGGATCCATCCAGAGGATCGTAATTTCCAATTGATTTACTGGCGATATGATGTATCACAGCCTATACAAGTATACAAGCTTACTACTGTCACATATGGCATGGCTTCTTCGCCTTTTTTGGCAAATCGGGTCGTGCAACAGCTTATCGCTGATGAAAGTTCAAACCACCCTCTAGCAGCCAATGCTCTTCGTGGTCAAATCTATGTTGATGATGCTTTACTTGGAGCAAATACCGAAGAAGGAGCTCTAGCGTTGCAGGATGATGTAATTAGGTTAATGTCCAAAGGTGGCTTTCAACTCAGAAAATGGATTTCTAACTGTCAGAACATACTAAATGCAATACCATCAGATCACCATGGCGTACCTCTACAGTTCTTTTCAGAGAAAGAATCGTCATGCAACGTTTTAGGTATAAAATGGCTTCCAGAAATTGATTCACTTTCGTACACTGTTACAATTCCAAATTTACCGCTAACCAAAAGAGCAGTTCTTTCTGCTATTGCTCAACTATTTGATCCAATGGGTTGGATCACTCCACCTTTGTTTTGGGCTAAAGCTTTCATGCAAGTCTTATGGACTAAAGGATTGAAATGGGATGATCCATTACCAAGTGAATTATCTTCACAGTGGATTTCATTTCTGAAGGAGCTACCCTCGATTGCAGAGATACAAATACCTAGGCATGTAGATACTTACCAAGCAAAAAATATCCAAATTCATGGTTTTTGTGATGCTAGCGAATCAGGATATTGCGCCTCAGTGATTCTTAGAGTTGAAAAGGAGGACCACGGAGTTACAACCAATTTGTTGATAGCAAAGTCTCGTGTTGCACCGCTAAAGCGTTTATCTCTACCACGCTTGGAACTTTGTGGACATCATCTCCTCTCCAAACTAATCCAATATTGTGTCTCTTGTCTTAGTACATACTTAACGATCAATGAAGTGTTCGCTTGGAGTGACTCAACTATCACTTTATCATGGATACATACTCCTGCCTATCGCCTCAAAACCTTTGTCTCCAACCGTGTGGCAAAAATTCAAGAAACTTCTACCCCAATTGTGTGGTCTCACATCGCCTCAGAACAGAACCCAGCTGATTGTGGATCTAGAGGACTCCTCCCTTCGCTATTGGCCAACCACCCACTTTGGTGGACAGGACCTGACTGGCTCAAGCTCTCTCAATCACTCTGGCCCACTACATCATTCAAGTTGTCATGTTCACATTCACTTCCAGATATAAAACCTGTGCAACCAACTGCACTGCAAACTACAAAATTACCTCAGTTGGAACTTCTTACAAGATTTTCTTCATGGACAAAGCTGAGACATGTAACTGCATATGTTCTACGCTTCATCAACCGCTGCCGAAGTAAGATCTCCTTGAAATATTTCAAGCCAGAATTGTCTACTCTTCAAGATGTCCCATTAACTACTTCTTCAAGACTTTCACTGCAAGAAATCAACATGTTTGCATTCTACATCTAGTACAACAAGAATCCTTCTCAAACGAAATTTCTGCTCTTCAAAAAGGCCAGACTCCTTCATTACCTCTTCAGCGTCTTTTGCCATTCCTGGACAAAGATGGTCTTCTCAGAGTTGGTGGACGACTGTCTAATGCCTATTTAAACTTCAACTCCAAGCATCCTATACTGTTGCCTAAACAACACTTCGTCACAAATCTGATCATAGACTACTACCACATTCTCTTCCTGCATTGTGGACCTCAATCACTACAATCCCTCATCTCTCAAAGGTATTGGATTTTATCCGCAAGAAGCAAGATAAGGAACAGAATATTCCGCTGCCTACGGTGCTATCGCTTCAAACCGAAGGTCACTGCGCCCCTAATGGCTGACCTACCCGCATCCAGAGTTCTACCTTCAAGAGCCTTTGAATCTTCAGCTGTCGACTTCGCAGGTCCCTTCAACGTCAAGCTTTACCCTGTTCGCAGATTACAACACATCAAAGTCTACCTCTGCCTTTTCATTTGCATGACAACAAAAGCCATCCACCTAGAAGTTGTGACCGATTTAACAGCCGATGCTTTTTTGGCCTCATTGACTCGGTTTATTTCCCGTCGAGGACTTGTCAGGAATTTACACTCAGACAATGCCACAAATTTTGTCGGTGCTGCTCGACAACTCCGGAAAACGATAGAGATTATTCTGCAATCCCATCCTGTCAACACTTGGCTTCTTGAGAAGGAAATCACCTTTCACTTCATTCCCCTTAGGTCTCCCCATTTTGGAGGACTTTGGGAGCGTGCCGTACAAAGCGCTAAATATCACCTACATAGAGTCATAGGTGAGCAAGTTCTTACACTTGAAGAATTCACTACTTTAACATGTAGAGTTGAAGCAATGCTAAATTCACGCCCAATTACCCCACTGTCATCAGATCCATGTGAATTAGAAGCTCTAACACCAGGTAATTTCTTGACTTTTGGACCTCCTGCTCTTTTACCTGAAACAGATCAGACAAGTACTCCTATGAACCGTCTCAAGAGATGGCAATTGGTTCAATCCGTTGCACAAAATATCTGGAAACGATGGCAACGCGATTATTTGTATACCTTACAGAATCGCCCAAAATGGACAACTCCCCAGAAGCACATCAGCCCTGGCGATCTTGTCATTCTTCAAGAAGATAATCTCCCTCCACTCCAATGGAAAATGGGCAGAGTTATTTCCTTATTCCCTGGAAAGGACAATGTTCCCAGAGTTGCCGAAGTAAAAACAGCCTCTGGAGTCTTCAAACGACCAGTCATCAAACTCTCCCTATTACCATCGGAATGAAGACATCAAGATCTACATCCTTCAATTCTCATACCCCCTGTTTTATTTAAAGTGTTTTTTGTTTGATTTTAACCAGAAAAACTCTTATTTAGTGTGCAGGAGCACAAGTTTCTCTTTTTCTTTTTTCTTTTGAAGATGTTCTGTTGAACCTGCCGGTTCAAGGGGGGCCGGTATGTTGTGTAAATAATAATAAATAAAAAGGACAAAATCAAGTTTAATTAAAGTTCAGCCCATTTTGGCATACATACATAAGGACAGACTCATTGCTAGTCATTCCTCTTTTCCTAGTTGGCAATCCTGCCAGTGACGTAGCATTACCTACTCCTTTTTCCTCTTATCTCTTCTTCTTGCCAATGTCAATACACATTCCCGCCCGCTACCGCTTATCACGCACCAGTTTGTGCCTTGAACTTTCTTTATACCGTGATCGGTTTTAAATTCAACAATTATCGTGTCTCGCCTCTGGGATTATCTTTGTGTCCGTGAACGACGTTATCCACTACGGCAGGATGATCTTCGCTGGACCAAGGGGCCCCTGAGAATTCTACACTCCACACTCCAGGCCGCCGACCACGCTTCGTACAGAGAAGAAAGGATCGGTCGTGAGTGATACTTCAATTTTAATATTAGATAAGACTTCATTAATTATTTTCTTTCAAGTTTCAGATGTGTCATTTTACTGCTCAATTTATTAAAACGTCATAATACAATACAGTCCACTAATTAAATTACGCAACTAATTCAATTCTCAAACAATCCATAACAGATATTAAGGTAATCTTGATCTTGCCTAGGAACTGGCTTACCTGATCAGCACTTAACATAAATAATAAATTAATAACTTAACAAACAAAACTGCATAAGGCTTTTAAATTACATAGTTGCCTGATGTAGAGGAGATTATCATACAGCGGGTTGACAAATGCTTAACATGACTATTGAAATAAGTATTTGAACAATCAACATTATTATTATTAACATTGCTCTGATAAAAATTAGTCATATCTTTATTGTAATTTTAGAAATAGGATTAAAATATACATGCATACAATCTTTACTTTATTCTTGCCCTTTTTAATTAAAAAATATATAAATAACATATAGTTTTGGGATTTAAAAAAAACTAACATGACATCTTCACACACAACAGCCACTTTACTTCCCTTAGGAAGTGATTAGGGAAAATCATTAAGGTTCTTCTTTTCTTAAGTTACTTCCCCTTAATAAAATAAACTTAATGTGAAATTTATTTAGCAAATTGCTATACATACCTTAAGAGAACCAAGCTTGATACCACTGTGAAGACAAACAAATAAATAAATATTCTTGTCTTGAAACCAGGTAGCAACCAAGGTGATTCAACTCTCTGGTGGTTTGAAGTAATCATTTTTATAGTCTGAAAATAATTATAAACATACATTAAGTTAACAGTCTTCCTGGTAATTAAAACTACAGTTGTTTCTCCATAGTTTGACACTTGTAATATGATATAGCTTACTCAGTAGCCCCTTAAAAATGGAAGTGTGAAACTTCAGTTCTTACTGGATTATGAATAAGCTCTCAGGTTCTAAAATATTCTTTCAGGGTTATAACTTACGCCTATTAAGTAGTTTTTACCGCTTGTACTTGCTGTTTGATGTGGGCCTAATGCTAGAATGCCAAGGTTATCTCATCGGGATAGTCAAACTTCAATGAGCCAATGGTCGGAATATGAGCAGTATGAAAAATTGCATGAATAAAATTGTTTGAATTGAATTGAATTGAATACTGACATAAATGAAGTAAAGTAGCTATGATACTAATCTGGCTTATCGTTACTGTAATTTCATGTCTTTGAGAAAAAGGAATGCCATTGGTTGCAAACATAATCAAGAGTTGTTAGCCTCCGGATTACGTTTGAGTATTTATAATGGTTTAAGTACCAGCATTCAGTAATCCAAATTGCTGCTTGCGGCAACTATAGTTTCAGTTCTGCTAAGGAACCATCTTCAGGCCGTACAAGGTGTCTTCAGGTTATTTACGTCCACTGGTTGTCATTGATAATAAGAAAATACATATAAAACACACACGAATACAGGCATTGAAAGACAAACGTTAAACATAAAAAACAACCAAATACTCGAGGACCCAAGAAATGTGGGATGCGACTGGGCAAAAATCGTAGTTCAAACTGGTGGTCTGTGGTCAACGTGGTATGACGTCAGCCACTGTCTCCTTATCACTGCTGGCTCACATTCCCAGCCAGCCTTTTTCATCCCCCTCCCTATCCAGTATTTTTTTTGTGGTGTTATAATAGAATTTGTATATAAAGGCTACTTACAGCACAGAAAATGTACTACTATTGTAGTATATTTTCTGTGCTTACAGTCTTTGCAATTCTGTTAATTGAGCACTACGGCCATTTCAGAGATAACTCCATCGTTGGGTGCGTAGGTAGTCATCATGTACTAAAACTGAACTATTTTTATTAGTGAATTTCCCATATAGGGAAAAAGCTATTACCGTAGTACTCATAGTAAGACCTGGACGCGGGACCGATTTTTTTTTTTCGTTCTGAGGTCCCTAGAGGCCAAAAACGCCATCCGTTCAAATTCATATATATATATATAGCCTATATATTTATATATTTATATATATATATATATATATGTCCGTCAGCACGATAACTCGAGCAAAAATGATCCGATTTTGATGAAATTTGTTACAAACGTGTAAACGTACGTTTATTCGAACGAGTTCGCGATCCAGCATGATCGTACCATGGGAACGGGGGTTTACGGGGGGTTTTATGGGGTAAAAATAGGTTTTTCCCATTTTTGAACCAAAAAACATAAAATTTAGCAATTTCTTTCCAAACCATTTTGTAGAGCTTAAAAAAACAAATAATTTAGTATAATGAAGCGTTATTATGCGCCTAATGGTTACGGAGAAAATTCAAAAAAATTGTAAATTTAAAATTCCCATGTTATTTTTATGGAGAATAAGTAAACTGTTGTAGTTTGCTTGTTTGTGAACATATTTTGATCAAATTTGGAAAATGTTTTCATTTCTTACTAACTATTCACATTTTACAAAAAAAAAGTTTTACCCTCCCTGATGCAGCAAACCTAAGTACTTGTAAAACTAATTCTATTTAAATCAAGAATAAATGTTATATTTTTAAGTAGACATTTCAGTGTAAATCCAATCAGTCAAATGGAAATTCGCTTAGTCTGCAGGTTTGCTGCGGCGGGGGTAATTTTATATGGTTTCTTCATTTTCATTTCTTCAAAGTTTAATAAATAATACATGCAACACAACACACGGACACGACACGAAAACATTAAGGCACGTAGGTACACAGCTAAAAACTGACGACCGACTCAGAAAGGTCTTGAAAACTTGGTGTAAAACTTCCATGTTACTATTTAAAATTTTATTTATAAGTAGGCTACTATATGTAAGCGAGTTCATGTGTGTTTTATATGTATTTTTTTATCATCAACGAAGACCTTCATACACAGTGGAAGCAAATAACCTGAAGACACCTTGTACGGCCTGAAGATGGTTCCTTAGCAGTACCGAAACTATAGTTGCCACAAGCAGCAATTGTGATTAGGCTACTGAATGCAGGTTCTTAAACCATTAAATAACTAGGTAACATAAGTTACTCAGGAGGACGTGGATATTGCCTCACATTGTTAACTGAGTCAATGCTAATCAGTGTTTTTTTTTATATATATATTTTAATAATACCATACTAGTGTGTAACATGTTGCTCGAACTCGAGCAATTGCAAAGTAGTACAGGAGTTATTTCAAAACGAATAACAGTGAGTTTAAAAGAGTAAACTCAAGAATTCCGGCCGGTTTTCTCCTTCTCAAAATGCCTCGCTGTACAGGCAACACAGGTCATTGATAGAGGGCCAATAATTTAGAATGAAAAGTTGTTTTGGGGTAGTGTTAGGGCGCATTTGTAACCTAATAGTTGAGATTGTCCAGGGTCAGGTGCCGACTGTGATGAGTTAATTGCGCGCCACTGTTCTGTAGCTGCGGTCGTTATCACGATTACGCCTCCTGTCTATGTTTCGTTCGTGTTGTCGACGCGTCGGAGGCATTTAAAAGAAAAAGCAACAAATAAACAAATTATAGCTACACAAAACAACGATAAACGCACAAATTTAAGTTACAATCAAGCTAACACGATCCGTCATAGCGACACAAAACAACGATAAATACACAAATTTAAGATGCAACCATACTAACACCTTTGACTATTAATACAACAAACAATCCGTCTTGGGGGTTATGTTTACACAAACTCAAATCTTACTAATATTATAAATCTGAAAGTTTGTGAGTTTGAGTGTGTGTTTGTGTGTGTGTGTGTGTGTGTTGCTCAATCACGCATAAACTACTGGACGGATTGGGCTGAAATTTGGCATGATGATAGCTCACATTCCCGATTAACATTAAAGCATATTTTTATATCAAAAACCCTTTCGGGCTCCGCCCCAGTGGCTCTGTAGTTCCCCATGTTATTCTTAGCCTATGATTTTTCATATTTAAAAGGAATTAATGAATCTTAACAGCTGTTTCAAATAAACAAGTTGGTTCTGTTCTATGATGTTCAATAGCATAAAAGTTACAAGGATTACCAACAGGGTGCAGCACTATTATTTTTTTTTTTAGTTTATGACAACAGCTAATTTCCAACCAAAAAGTGAGTGAGCGTAGCGAACGAACTTCAACCTGGAGGCGAGTTAGCGTAGCGAACGAGCTAACCTGAAGGCAAGTGAGCGCAGCGAACGAGCTCCAACCCAAAGGTGAGTGAGCGTAGCGAACGAACTTCAACCAGGACGTGAATGAGCCATGCGAATACTTATGAAGTTAAACGGGGCAAAGCCCGCGGGTACATCTAGTAGTAAATAAATATGTACTCAATGCGTTTCATTCAATTGAAAAATAAATAACAGCAATTAAATTATACAGCTGATCAAAATGTAAACAATTATGTTCTCCACAAGGATAACATGGGAACTTTCAAAGCCACTGGGGCAGAGCCCAAGGGACGCTTCCAAAAATTAAGGCCAGTTTGCAAATCTAAGTGACACGCTCTTTCCAATGAGACGTCAATGGATAAAATCGGACTGGTGGTACGGTACTAGATAGGTTAACCTAAATCAACATCTTCCGATGTGCGACTGATTTTTAATAAAGAAGGAAATTGTGTCCATTTAGGTCTAGTCTAAAATTGATATTTACTTAACAAACAGCCAAGAACAGACTTGACATCTTTCACCGATCCAGTAAGGTGATCAAACTTATTATGTTATTACTTATTACCTGTTCTTCATCTTTTACCCCATGGGGGATTGATGGCGTCATTATAAACATAAAATCACTTTTTTACACTTAGAACATACAATTAACATATAATTAAAACTGAGGCTGTGTACATGCATATTTCAGCCTAGGCCTAATAGAGGGTCTTCAAAGTACTCCTTCAGCAAGCAGTAGACCTAGGCTTTGTTTTTTAGATACACTGTAAGCATCTTAAGGAGTTTCCTTTTGTCAAGGTGCAGGATGGAGTTTGGCAACTTATTATTGTATATTTTTATGGCTCCATTACTGAAGGCCTTCTGAGTCCTTGACAGCCTAACTCTAGGGACATCTAGGTTTCAGGTACGATGCCTAGTAAGATGTTGATGTGTTGCTGCTCTGGAAAGAAACTCCTCAATATTGTCTAACGCGTATTTTATGCAAGCGAGGATATAGTGACTATACACTGTAAGACTGCCCACCCCGGCAAATATAGGCTTGCAGTGAGCCCAACGATGGCTGAAGGTGATTATTCTCAGAGCTCTCTTTTACAGGATCAATATTTTTTCGGTCATGGGTGCAAGTCCCCACAACAAAATACCATAGGCTCACATGGCAATGAAACATTGTGTGATACACAATCAACAGATATTTCTCTGTGACCAGATGTCTTAGTTTCAGAAGCAGGAAGCATACCCTAGATATTTTACTGCAAACTTGGTCCATATCCACTCCAGGTTAGTTTTTGGTCTAGTGTGAATCCTAACAACTTCACCGGGTCATTCGGAGGAGCACGTTTGGCTAGACTGCAGACGATGGACTGTGTTTTGGTTTGGTTCAGCTTGAAGCCATTTGCCTCAAACCAGTTTGAAGCTTCTAGTAAGTGTTGCTCTGCTCCCGCTACAGACTGATCAACATGCAGTCCTCGTGACACAATGGTGGTATCGTCAGCAAACAATACAACATTTCCAGTCTTGTCAAGGTCATTTATCATGACTAACTTTAGGAAGAGAATTACAGCCCAACAGATCCTTGCAGGACTCCATAACCTACCTCTAGAGGTGCCGAAATCACCCCCTCAATGGAGACCACCTGCTGCCTACACGAAAGATAAGATTCAATAGTCTTGAGGACAGTGCCACCTACTCCATGACCCTCCAGCATCCTCACCGGTGGAGTATGGTTGACGCAATCGAATGCACGACTTAGATCGCACAATGTGAGGGGGGTCTGTGTAACAAGCCTCAAATGCCTCGCCAACCAAACCTGCAAGCCTCATTACCGCCCCCTGTTGTGGATCGGCCCTTACCAAATCAAAATTCCATCTGTCAGCAAGTTATTTGACTCCAGGTGTTCACAGAGCTGCTTAGTCATCAGGGCCACCACGACTTTACCGATGATTGGTAAGATAGAAATGGGCCTATAGGGGTAACTTAACGTCAGGAAAAGTTTTTCTGATATGCCTAACAAAGCTATTACTACCAAGTTAAGCCCAGGCCTCTTCCTTTTCATCAATCAATCTGTGGTAAAAGTATGTATTTAATAGGTTGCAACAAAATTAAAAAATAAGGCCCAATATGTTAACTAATTCTTGTAAATAGTCTAACTTATAGGCTTAACTGAACTGAATTGCTATGATAAAAGTCAATCAATGTCATTGGCATTGTGATAAGTTTTCAATATTTTAATATAACTTACCTGTAACACGAATGTGGGGAATACCTGTGTAGAATAATGCCAGCAAATATAAATTACATAAGCTACTACGTTTTATTTTTTTATTGGTAAATAGCACATTACAAAAAATGTCAACAATAACTTCTTTAACACATCTAAAAGAAAAGAAAAATGAAACTGAGTAACTTAACTGACGACGACAAACACAATCACAGAGTCTGTGACACAGACCACTTCACTTCTTCACTTTCACTACGAATGTATAGCACAGCAGTGTTGCCAACCGACCTCTTTGGTTTTCCCCGCATGGAACGACGGAAATCCTCGATTTTCCTCGCAAGGATTCTAAAATTACTCCCAAAATCCTCGATAGCATCTAAAGATTAAAATAATTTGAAATTTCCCCATATTTACATGATAATATACGTTTCCACCTATTCTTTTTTTACTAGAGGTGCAAATTACCAAACAAAGATGCATTAACCAGATTAACCTATCGTACTTTAAAAATTAGGGGCTCTGGTAAATAGTATGTGTGAGTATTGGTCTAGCCAATAGCCATAGACCAATCAACACAATGGAATATATTTAGGCCTATCTATGATTTAACGCATGCATTATAATCAATGGTAAAAGTATGTTTTCCATCCCTGTGCCCTGACATTTTTGTCAAATCTGAATAAGTAGTTTATCTTGGTTAATTTGTGGGTGTGCTGATGTCGACGTCGAAATTCTTTAATAAATCATAAACTATATTTTTTAGGGTATTCTAATTTAGGTAAGCTCGTAATCACGCCTTATACGTGGCCGTGGCCGGGTCGTGTCTTAATACTATACAAATAAGAAAAACCCCTGTGTTTATACGGTACCTGAAAAAATACATTATACATTATATAATACTTATAATAATAATAATATTTGTTATTAACTTTGAAAATTAACAAATTCTAAATTATTGAAATGGGGTCGCCATTTTAGGTACGTATTTTTACCCAAATTTGAGTGAAAGATGAGTGTAGAATGGTGTGAGATGATCTGTGTAACTTTGTTACTGACTAATATTTCATCAGCCAGGATAATTGATTTAAAGTCCAATCATCATGAACAGCTGAGTAATAAATCATAATTTGTTAGGTTCTACCGGGTTCTACTACGTAGGCCTACGTGAAAGGAAATTTGAACTGAAGGCAACCAACAAACGACAAGTTTCTGTACAGGTGAAAATGCTAAAAAGGTGTGGTAGTTTATTGTTAAACACATATCGGCCCCAGTCATATCCTCAGTAGTTCAATTCGAATTCACATTCACTTCATAATTACAGGCTTATAGCACACAGCTCAGCTGAGCTGACAGCGACAGCTGGAGCTGAGCATAGCATTACTTCACCTCACTTCAGTCAGTCCAGTCCAGTTTCCAGTTCGGCAGTTAGTTAGTTTTAAGTTCACCCTCATTTCATTGTCTTCTTCTTCATCTACTTGTTCTTAGATTTGATTGGTTGATTCATTGTATCATTGATGATTGACTTTTTTCAGTTGCGGACGCTGTTCATTCAATGCTTAGATTCAGAGGGATTTTCAATATATTTTTAAAGAGACCTAGGCACTGAGAATACTCGATTATCAGAAAAATCCTAGGTGCTTTACCTGAAAATCCTCGAAAATACTCGCAAAATCTGAATCCTCGCATAAATCCTCGCAGGGTCTGGAAATCCTCGAAAAACGAGGATTTTCCCCGCAATTGGCAACACTGTAGCACAGCCACAGCAACATTGCTAAATCAGCTGTAAATGATTACATATGGTTTCAGTTACCAAACAAGTTAAAAGAAACTGCATTTACTTGGACCGTAGATTAAGGTCAATTAATTGTAAACATCCGGCCGTGGTTTCATTGGTATCACTAAATTTTGCATTTCTCAGTGCTTTTCAGGTAATGACAAAATCTATTGCATAACTTATTTGCATAAAGATAAACAATAATGTCTAGTGTCTTAAGAGTAGATTCAATTTCTTAAAAAAAATTATATTAAACCAAATCTTTGTTCACCGAAATCTTAGTTTCACCTCGAGCTCTAATCAAGCCGTATAAACGATAACTCTGTAAAAATTCAGAGTAACATCATGGATTAAACATACTTTGTAAGTCTATGGTAATATAAAATGTAAATTTTCCCGAAAAGCACCCATTGTTGACCCAACATTGGGAAATGGTCCGCACGGTTGGAAAATGGTAGTGGGAAATTTTAACGCCTTGCCAACAATGGTCCAACGGGAACTTGTATTCGTTGGCCCTACCCTACAAGGGAAAGATTCGTCGGAACTTCTTTAATATAACACATTCTAAAACACATTTCAACAAATTGATTTATTTAATTAGAAAATAAATGCTATCGCAGGAAAATATAAGATGGTTTTGGAGAAAATTGGATCTATAATAAATGTAGTATATAAATACATATATATATATTTATTTTTATATATATATTTTTTTTATTACATATTTGTTTAAATTAATTTATTCTTTAACTTACTGTTGAGCATTTTTTTTAATAGTTGAACAATTTAAGGGGAAAGATTAATTAATCATAATTCATAATACCAGTGTCAGTGTCCTCTTTAACTCCCCGAAAAACTATTTAACTACCTACTTGATGCATAAACAGAATCATAGTATAAAAAATATTTTTATTGCGACCATTGCAATTATGTTGGCTGCTCTTTTAGCAGCTTGAAAACAGGTAATATCAACGATCACTGATAGCTCAGAGGTAAGATAAAAGGCTCATAATAAAAGAAACTTGGAGTACCAGGTTCGAGATCCATCCGGATTCGCACAAAATATTTGTTACCGGTATGGGTTTTTCAAAATTTGTTTTTATGAACAATTTAAATTATATACTCAACTGATAAATATGCTTTTCATACTAAATTATTTAAATTTACAATGGGATGAGAAGTCTACTTGGTGTTGGTTAGTCTTGGCAACGTCATAACGTCGCAAGTAGGGTTTCTTGTCAGTTGCCCCATAAGATAGCATGGCAGACTGGTGACATCTGCTCATTAATTTGCACTTGATTGATTTATATATTTAAATTTAAATTTATGCACATAAATTTATTAAAATATTGAAAATAAAACATACATAATTGAAAACAAAAACAATATGAATTGAAAATCTACACCTGTACATTTTAAAGCGGAGTCAATATTTTCATAGTCCAGTACCCACGCTTTCGTAAATACAGTACACAAATACCATTAGCTGCTTCCAAACAAAACAGCTGTTAAAATCCAGCCGTGTTACAACCGTTACATGGTTACAAACCCTACTTTTGTGACGTTGCCACTTCACTTCGAACTCGAAGGCCGCGGCCACAATTATAGCTCAGTGGGCCAGAGCACATTCGTGGTCTTTGGTCTTGTCTTTGTTCTCGTTCTCGATCTCGATTCTCGTTCTCGATCACATTTACGTACGTTATACGGTTTGCATTGTCTGTGGTTATACGTTATCGTTGGTGATGGTGCGGTTCTCGTAGGTTAGGTTTCGCTGTGTGTTGACTTGACTTGAGTTTAAAAATTAAAACTAACCTCTTTTCGGTGACTTGACGACACCATAGCACATAAGTCTTGTTACGTTTGTTTTACCTTAGTGTTATTAATGATAGTTTAAAACTAAAATACCTTGAGGTGCATGTGATATTTTTAAGGTAGGCCTAGACAATTCTAAAATCATGGAAGAAGTTCACTTAACCACAATCAAACCCAAAAACAACGTTTTATTGTTGGCTCAAGAAATTTCTTTTGCTAAAGTTTTAGCCTGTAATGATAAACGCTTGAGGGATCGAGGTGTGAGAAGACTGAAAAAATGGTTTATGGCACGGTCTCAAGGTTCCATGGGTAAGTGGTCCCTATGGCAAATTTTTTAGCAATTTATCAACTTAGGCCTAGCCTACATTACTTAAAACGGGTACAGTTTCTTAACTGGGCTACGCTAATATTGATTGAAACTATCCATTCTATTAGTAAACCTTGATGTGATTTTTTCACCATCAGCAAGTTTGGTTGGTTATGTTAGGTTATGATACCTAGTTTTATTTTATAATAGATTTTAAAATATCGATTAGGGGCCTACCCCTACCTATTAATCAATATTTTCAATTCAATAGTTTCAATTGATATTAGCGTAGCCCAGTTAAGAAACTGTAAGTTACCCCTTAAAACATAACTCAAATGAGTTCTAAGACCTTCGACTATTCCGCAAAGTATTGCTGTAAAATGGGCCTACATTTGACTGTTTTATTGTACCCTAGGCCTAAGTTAGGCATCTAGGCCTTACTGGAAGTTATGCTGAAGACCTGAAAACAAGTGGGCTAGGTATGTTGTAGCCCATGTCGCTTACTTGTGTGAACCTGGCAATAACTTGGCAATAAGTAGTACGCCCGCCCGCTAAAATCTATTGCTGGCCGCTTTGCGGCAAAATGCGACCGCGTAACATGAAACCGATGATGTCACCAGATAGAGGACAGTTTAACGGACACAACAGTATCAATATCATGTACCTGGGGAATAAGAAAGGGGGGGTAAAGTAAGCAATAAGTAGTGGGCGCGCCTGAAAAAATCTATTCCCGGCCGTATTGCGGAAAAATACGTCCGCGAGCAATAATAACGACGATGCCAACAGATAGAGGAAACTTCAAAGGACACGACAGTATCAACATCATGTACCTGGGGAGTAATTTAGGGGGGTAAAACCAGCAATAAGTAGTGGGCGCGCCCGAAAAAATCTATTCCCGGCCGTATTGCGGAAAAATACGTCCGCGAGCAATAATAACGACGATGCCAACAGATAGAGGACACTTCAACGGACACGACAGTATCAACATCATGTACCTGGGGAGTAATATAAGGGGGGTAAAACCAGCAATAAGTTGTGCGCGTGCCCTTTCAAATCTATTGCTGGCCGTATTGCAGAGAAATACGTCCGCGAGCAATAATAATGATGACGCCAACAGATAGAGGACACTTCAACGGACACGACAGTATCAACATCATGTACCTGGGGAGTAATATAAGGGGGGTAAAACCAGCAATAAGTTGTGCGCGCGCCCTTTCAAATCTATTGCTGGCCGTATTGCGGAGAAATACGTCCGCGAGCAATAATAACGACGACGCCAACAGATAGAGGACACTTCAACGGACACGACAGTATCAACATCATGTACCTGGGGAGTAATTTAGGGAGGGTAAAACCAGCAATAAGTAGTGCGCGCGCCCGATAAAATCTATTGCTGGCCGTATTGCCGAAAAATACGTCCGCAAGCAATATTAACAATGATGCCAACAGATAGAGGACACTTCAACGGACACGGCAGTATCAACATCATGTACCTGGGGAGTAATATAAGGGGGGTAAAACCAGCAATAAGTAGTGGGCGCGCCCGAAAAAATCTATTCCCGGCCGTATTGCAGAAAAATACGTCCGCGAGCAATAATAACGACGATGCCAAAAGATAGAGGACACTTCAACGGACACGACAGTATCAACATCATGTACCTGGGGAGTAATATAAGGGGGGTAAAACCAGCAATAAGTTGTGCGCGCGCCCTTTCAAATCTATTGCTGGCCGTATTGCGGAGAAATACGTCCGCGAGCAATAATAACTGCGACGCCAACAGATAGAGGACACTTCAACGGACACGACAGTATCAACATCATGTACCTGGGGAGTAATATAAGGGGGGTAAAACCAGCAATAAGTAGTGGGCGCGCCCGAAAAAATCTATTCCTGGCCGTATTGCGGAAAAATACGTCCGCGAGCAATAATAACGACGATGCCAACAGATAGAGGACACTTCAACGGACACGACAGTATCAACATCATGTACCTGGGGAGTAATATAAGGGGGGTAAAACCAGCAATAAGTTGTACGCGCGCCCTTTCAAATCTATTGCTGGCCGTATTGCGGAGAAATACGTCCGCGAGCAATAATAACGACGACGCCAACAGATAGAGGACACTTCAACGGACACGACAGTATCAACATCATGTACCTGGGGAGTAATTTAGGGGGGGGGGTAAAACCAGCAATAAGTACTGCGCGCGCCCGATAAAATCTATTGCTGGCCGTATTGCCGAAAAATACGTCCGCAAGCAATATTAACAATGATGCCAACAGATAGAGGACACTTCAACGGACACGACAGTATCAACATCATGTACCTGGGAAGTAATTTAGGGGGGGGGGGTAAAACCAGCAATAAGTAGTGGGCGCGCCCGAAAAAATCTATTCCCGGCCGTATTGCGGAAAAATACGTCCGCGAGCAATAATAACGACGATGCCAAAAGATAGAGGACACTTCAACGGACACGACAGTATCAACATCATGTACCTGGGGAGTAATATAAGGGGGGTAAAACTAGCAATAAGTTGTGCGCGCGCCCTTTCAAATCTATTGCTGGCCGTATTGCTGAGAAATACGTCCGCGAGCAATAATAACGATGACGCTAACAGATAGAGGACACTTCAACGGACACGACAGTATCAACATCATGTACCTGGGGAGTAATATAAGGGGGGTAAAACCAGCAATAAGTAGTGGGCGCGCCCGAAAAAATCTATTCCTGGCCGTATTGCGGAAAAATACGTCCGCGAGCAATAATAACGACGATGCCAACAGATAGAGGACACTTCAACGGACACGACAGTATCAACATCATGTACCTGGGGAGTAATATAAGGGGGGTAAAACCAGCAATAAGTTGTGCGCGCGCCCTTTCAAATCTATTGCTGGCCGTATTGCGGAGAAATACGTCCGCGAGCAATAATAACGACGACGCCAACAGATAGAGGACACTTCAACGGACACGACAGTATCAACATCATGTACCTGGGGAGTAATTTAGGGGGGGGTAAAACCAGCAATAAGTAGTGCGCGCGCCCGATAAAATCTATTGCTGGCCGTATTGCCGAAAAATACGTCCGCAAGCAATATTAACAATGATGCCAACAGATAGAGGACACTTCAACGGACACGACAGTATCAACATCATGTACCTGGGAAGTAATTTAGGGGGGGGTAAAACCAGCAATAAGTAGTGGGCGCGCCCGAAAAAATCTATTCCCGGCCGTATTGCGGAAAAATACGTCCGCGAGCAATAATAACGACGATGCCAAAAGATAGAGGACACTTAAACGGACACGACAGTATCAACATCATGTACCTGGGGAGTAATATAAGGGGGGTAAAACTAGCAATAAGTTGTGCGCGCGCCCTTTCAAATCTATTGCTGGCCGTATTGCGGAGAAATACGTCCGCGAGCAATAATAACGATGACGCTAACAGATAGAGCACACTTCAACGGACACGACAGTATCAACTTCATGTACCTGGGGAGTAATTTAGGGGGGTAAAACCAGCAATAAGTTATTGCTCGCGGACGTATTTTTCGGCAATACGGCCAGCAATAGATTTTATCGGGCGCGCGCACAACTTATTGCTGGTTTTACCCCCCTATATTACTCCCCAAGTACATGATATTGACACTGTTTTGTCCGTTGAAGTGTCCTCTATCTGTTGGCGTCGTAGTTATTATTGCTCGCGGACGTATTTTTCCGCAATACGGCCGGGAATGGATGTTTTCGGGCGCGCCCACTACTTATTGCTGGTTTTACCCCCCCCCCCTAAATTACTCCCCAGGTTCATGATGTTGATACTGTCGTGTCCGTTGAAGTGTCCTCTATCTGTTGGCATCGTCGTTATTATTGCTCGCGGACGTATTTTTCCGCAATACGGCCAGCAATAGATTTGAAAGGGCGCGCGCACAACTTATTGCTGGTTTTTCCCCCCCTATATTACTCCCCAGGTACATGATATTGACACTGTCGTGTCCGTTGAAGTGTCCTCTATCTGTTGGCATCATTGTTAATATTGCTTGCGGACGTATTTTTCGGCAATACGGCCAGCAATAGATTTTATCGGGCGCGCGCACTACTTATTGCTGGTTTTACCCCCCCTAAATTACTCCCCAGGTACATGAAGTTGATACTGTCGTGTCCGTTGAAGTGTCCTCTATCTGTTAGCGTCGTCGTTATTATTGCTCGCGGACGTATTTCTCCGCAATACGGCCAGCAATAGATTTGAAAGGGCGCGCGCACAACTTATTGCTGGTTTTACCCCCCTTATATTACTCCCCAGGTACATGACGTTGATACTGTCGTGTCCGTTGAAGTGTCCTCTATCTGTTGGCATCGTCGTTATTATTGCTCGCGGACGAATTTTTCCGCAATACGGTCGGGAATAGATTTTTTCGGGCGTGCCCACTACTTATTGCTGGTTTTACCCCCCCCCCCCTAAATTACTCCCCAGGTACATGAAGTTGATACTGTCGTGTCCGTTGAAGTGTCCTCTATCTGTTGGCGTCGTCGTTATTATTGCTCGCGGACGTATTTCTCCGCAATACGGCCAGCAATAGATTTGAAAGGGCGCGCGCACAACTTATTGCTGGTTTTACCCCCCTTATATTACTCCCCAGGTACATGATGTTGATACTGTCGTGTCCGTTGAAGTGTCCTCTATCTGTTGGCATCGTCGTTATTATTGCTCGCGGACGTATTTTCCGCAATACGGTCGGGAATAGATTTTTTCGGGCGTGCCCACTACTTATTGCTGGTTTTACCCCCCCCCCCTAAATTACTCCCCAGGTACATGATGTTGATACTGTCGTGTCCGTTGAAGTGTCCTCTATCTGTTGGCATCGTCGTTATTATTGCTCGCGGACGTATTTTTCCGCAATACGGCCGGGAATAGATTTTTTCGGGCGCGCCCACTACTTATTGCTGGTTTTACCCCCCCCCCAAATTACTCCCCAGGTACATGATGTTGATACTGTCGTGTCCGTTGATGTGTCCTCTATCTGTTGGCATCGTCGTTATTATTGCTTGCGGACGTATTTTTCCGCAATACGGCCAGCAATAGATTTGAAAGGGCGCGCGCACAACTTATTGCTGATTTAACCCCCCCTATATTACCCCCCAGGTACATGATATTGACACTGTCGTGTCCGTTGAAGTGTCCTCTATCTGTTGGCATCATTGTTTATATTGCTTGCGGACGTTTTTTTCGGCAATACGGCCAGCAATAGATTTTATCGGGCGCGCGCACTACTTATTGCTGGTTTTACCCCCCCTAAATTACTCCCCAGGTACATGATGTTGATACTGTCGTGTCCGTTGAAGTGTCCTCTATCTGTTGGCGTCGTCATTATTATTGCTCGCGGACGTATTTCTCCGCAATACGGCCAGCAATAGATTTGAAAGGGCACGCGCACAACTTATTGCTGGTTTTACCCCCCTTATATTACTCCCCAGGTACATGATGTTGATACTGTCGTGTCCGTTGAAGTGTCCTCTATCTGTTGGCATCGTCGTTATTATTGCTCGCGGACGTATTTTTCCGCAATACGGCCGGGAATAGATTTTTTCGGGCGCGCCCACTACTTATTGCTGGTTTTACCCCCCCTAAATTACTCCCCAGGTACATGATGTTGATACTGTCGTGTCCGTTGAAGTGTCCTCTATCTGTTGGCATCGTCGTTATTATTGCTTGCGGACGTATTTTTCCGCAATACAGCCGGCAATAGATTTTTTCGGGCGCGCCCACTACTTATTGCTGACTTTACCCCCCCTTTCTTATTCCCCAGGTACATGATATTGATACTGTTGTGTCCGTTAAACTGTCCTCTATCTGGTGACATCATCGGTTTCATGTTACGCGGTTGCATTTTGCCGCAAAACGGCCAGCAATAGATTTTTTCGGGCGCGCGCACTACTTATGGCTGGAGTTATTGCCAGGTTCACACCAATATGTCGCTTTGTTTTGCTGTACAAAAGAAAGTATGCAATTGATTTAATTGTTAAGGTAACAAGGAAATATAGGTATACCTACCTCGTTCCTTGTCAGCTCTGTAAAATGTGGGCTACAGTAACTTATTCTTGACCCAGGTACATAGATTAACTTAATACACCACGGCGTGCCCCAAGGATCGATTCTGGGCCCTGTCCTGTTCGTCATAATGATTAATGATCTGTCCCTAAATAGACGAACGCTGCTCTTTGCAGACGACACAACACTACTGACCAGGCACGGCAACCTGAACGACCTGAGAACCGAGGCAGCATTTCTGCTGGTTGAGGCCAAAGAATGGTTCGTTTTGAATCGCCTTAAAATCAATGACGATAAAACACAATCCATCACGTGTACCCTCAAACAGGGCATCGAGGACGAGGCGGTCAAACTGCTAGGATTCTGGATCGATTCCAAACTCAACTGGAACCTCCATGTGGAGAGAGTGTGCGTCAGGCTAAGCAGAATATTATATCTGATCAGGAAACTGAAGCATGAGATTACACGTCCCTACCTAGTCATAATGTACCATGCATTATTCCATAGCCACATAAATTATGGACTGGTGGTATGGGGCCATTGCTACGCGACCCAGAGTGTGCTGTTGCTGCAGAAGAAGGCGCTAAGACTAATAACATCCTCTGGCCCTACCGATCACTGTAGACCTCTTTTTAAAGAACTTGGCATACTATCAGTATTCAGCCAGTATGCGCTAAACACCCTAGTTCTTCTGAGAGAAAATATAAACAACCTCTCAACCAGAAACATGCAGCACAACTATGGAACCCGCAGAGCCTATGACCTGGATGCACCCCGTTGTCGACTTAGCCACACGCTTAACTCATATCCATCTCTAGCGATAAAATTATTTAATTCGCTACCGACAACCATCCGGACCCTAGAACCAAAGCAGTTTAAGTCTGCACTTCGCCAGAGCCTAGTCAGTAGGCCTCTGTACTCCATCAAGGAACTGATTGACAATCCACTCGACTTTCCAAAAATCCGAGTCACATCCGTCAGTACAGTTTAAATTGTATACGGTATATATATGTTTATAATAGTGTTTTATAAGTTACTCTTTTTTTGACGCAATCTATCCAACGTTTGTTGGTAAAGGATGAAGGAATCAAGTATTCAAGTAAGTAAGTATTAAACTTCCAAGGTCCATAGGCCTACACCATACACAGCTAACCATACACCAAGACAGGTAGGCCTGGATTCCAATTGTTATTTTATATTACTAAGTAAATTGTATCACGTTAAAGGTTTTCATTCGATTTTCAGACTTTACCAAGGATGATTTTATGCGAATTTGGAAAGGACTATTCTATTGTATGTGGATGTCTGACAAACCTCTGGTTCAAGTAAGTAACTTAAATCATTTTATAATATTTAGCACTATGCCCACTTGTTTTATTTAAAATTAAAGTTATAAAGCCAAGATTCCGTTTAACAAATTTTCAGTTACATTTCACGGTACCTAACTTAAATCTGCCTGGAACAAATGCCACAGCGGTCAAAAAGAACATGTCTAGGTAACCAGAACTTATTTGTGAAAAAAAGCTCAAGAAACTTGTCTCCAATGCCACATCCTGAATTGTCAAGCAGGGAAATTTAAATTGAAACTCATCTTTAGTCTATGACATAGCCTAGTTTTGATTTTGATTTGAACAACATTTATTAAGCCCTATATACTTAACAATAGTACTTTTCAAATATTTCAGCAGGAACACCTAAGTTATTTTTATCAATAAGCCAAAATAAAACCAATTTTTGAATGATTCTTCATGTAATTCTTCATGTGTGACAAACTTAGATTATAAATAACGAGGTTCTAAATGCTGTGCTTAAAAAGAGAGGATGTAGGTGAGAAGTGTCTAGATTAGATCTTCACCCTCAGTTTTCAGCGTAGCCAAATGCACTCAGTCCAGTAAATATCAATATGTTGTTGGGCTGTTCTTCTTTGTCTTTTATTTCTCTGCCTTATCAAGCCTAACCTAGCATACTCTAATCTCGGCATTGTTTGAAGGGACAGTAGACAAGAGGAACTTGTGGGCTCATTGTTTATCTGGTATGACAGATAAAAAAAAAAAAACAAAAAAAACAGGCTATTTATTTACTTGTCTTGACAAGTGATAAGCAAACACTGTTTAACAATGCAAAATACTGTACATAATAAGTTTTCTAATCTACTAGCTGTAACAGACAAGCAATGAATGAATAAAACTAGCGTGAATCCTAAATGATCATTCAGCATGAATAATATTTTACCCGTTAATAAATGTCTATTTTTGTTTCTTTCAGGAAGATTTAGCAGAAGAAATAAGCAAACTGATTCACAGTTTTGCAAATTTCAAAGCATCTCTGTTGTTTATTGAAACATTCTTCTCCTCTCTATCAATTGAGTGGTTTGGTATTGACCAGCTCCGACTGGATAAGTATTTGATGGTGAGTTTTGACTTCTACCACAGAGAAGGCACAGAGGAAACTTGCTTTGCACTTTCCTAGTATGTTGTGTGAAAAATATAGCCTACTTGTGAAAAGCAAGGAAGATCCTGAGTGGTGTGCACTGTGCAGAAATTCCAATGGCGCCTAGGGCACAGGGTCCTCCACCATGAGCGTTGTAGTAGCCTACACGTAGGGGGGGGGGGGGGTGTTCCTAGTTCTAGTAATGTGTGAGGTACCAAATTTTAAGGGGGGTAAAAACGTATTGCTAGTCAACAAACACAATAACTTACCCGATTTTTATCCACAACATCCTACTCTTAGGCCTATGTGTTGGCCATAGCTTTGGCTATGGGCCAAAGAACGTAGGCCTACTTTTAATAACAGTGAAGTACACAAACACACCCACAACGATATATTTATTCATAATAGCACTTTGTTTCACATAATAAAGTTAAAACGACCGATTTTACGAACATTTAACGCCGATGACAACATCACTTAACCTCGAAATGGTGTTTGTTGACCAACGACAGACGACAACTAGACCGGCTCAACAGGCGAATCCCTGATCAGCTGTTGGCTAGTTTCCGAAATCGCCACCGCAGCGCTTGAGCCGCGGCCGAGGAAATCGAGATTTGAGCCGGACAAGAATTATTCGCCGTTTGACCGCCGACCAGCTCGCACAAATTACGAATACGACCCTACGATCCTATTACGAAGGTTAGCTAACACACTAGTTAGGCCCTTTTTTACGTTTTACGTTATTTCTGTTTTATCTTACGCATACTGTACTTAACTTATTATCCTTTTCGTTTTCTTAAATTCCCGATTCGACTTATCTAAATTAGTTTTCGCCGACTTGCATACAACCCGCCAGTTCCTGCCTGCCAGTGACTAGCGGTGGATACCTTTCGGCTCTTTTAAATCAATTGGCTACGAAATTACATTTGTTCCGTTCGCTTAAAGAATTATTACGTACGTTTATTTTAGTTAATTCGTCGTTTAATACCCCGAGACTTGTCGTCCACGTTCTAAACCCCGTCTTTGGCGGGTGAAAGAATCGAGTCTTGGGAGCAGGCTGAGAGGAATAATCAGCTACAAAAATTAGTATTAAATTTATTTTAAACCTATCACGTTAAATTCTCCATTCGATCATATTAATTAGGCTCCGACGACTCTGTAGGGATTGGGTTTTACATTATAATATTATATCCGATTTTTATTTTATTTACCTAGGCCTTTAGTTAATTATTTTAAAGTTCATTACGAGTAATTGAATCTCATTGGCTTCAGATTGAATACTCGTCGGCCCTACGGAGTCATTCTAAAAGTTAGGCAAAATTCTCCAAAACACTTTTACGAAGGCTGGGATGATATAGCTCCAACTGAGCGTCTGCAGGATTTCCTGAGCGTTTCTAGAGCTCTGAGCCTTCGATTAAATTTTAAATAAATTGATCAGTCAAAGCCGTGATCACTTCGTATCGACCCCTGGATTTTTCTCGGCTCCTTCTGAGCACTCCGGGGAAGAAATTTGAGTGTGGCCGGTTCTAGAGGTAGGCCTAGCCTGACTTAGGTGAATACTAGTTTATTCCCCCCCTAGAAGTTTGCGTCACATCTCCGGCGCCCGAACAGGGACTGAGCTTCCTCGGTCTCACGTCCTTGTACTGTCGTTTTGTAGAATTTTGCGTCACATCTCTGGCGCCCGAACATTTGGACTCGAAAACACGGTTTTGACTTCGAAATTTACACGAAATGACTGGAGAAACTGAATCAACGACTTCTAGTACCCCGACGACTATTGCCCGACCCGATACGCTACCGATCGGCCACGTGACGATATCCACGGTGGGAATTCAAACGTCAACGACGACCACGACCACGACGACGATCTCCCAGATACCTTCGACGATGGAGAGCATCCCGAAATCGCCGTTGGACGACCCACGCGTCGGCTGGATTCATACTCTGAGCAAACAGCACCTGATTGCTGAGATGACAAAATATCAGCTAGATACTGAGGGTAGCGTCGCCGAGCTCCGCAAACGTTTTTGCGATTATTGGAAGAACCCGTTGGGAAGCATCGGTCAGCCGATGAACCCGACGGCGATAACAGCCTCGACAGCCTACGATACGCAAGTCCGACAGTGGCTGGCACCTCCTTCCGCGTACCAGGAGATGGCCAGCGTGCGAGAAATGCTCGGAGTCTCTCCGAACGCTGATTCTGAATCCGTTCGCCGAGCCCTCGCGGCGTTGGTAAAGCGTCCGGCCTACATCCCGTCGACCGGGGAAGACATCCTATCGTACCCCGTGCCCTTCGGTCTACCGACGGAACGCAAGTCCCGCGCGATGTTTGAGAGTCGCGGAGAACGGCCAACGACTTGCCTGACGTCGCACGACCTGACACTTCCTCGACAGCCTATCATACCGGCACAAACCCAGACGATGCGCCGCGATTACGAAGACCGGACCTACGAGCAACAGACCCACCTTCCGCATCACGGGTTCGAAGACCGGACAAACCAGTGGTCACATCCCAACCAGGACCCGCGGACGTCGCGAATCCAACCCGGCTTCTCAACCTCACGTCCAGGCAACCCCAACCCGTGTGGTAGGACGAGAGTGGGAGACGACACGCCGTCGCTGTGCAATCGGATTCGTAAGTGGGATCTGCGATTTGACGGCAAGAAAGATCCGGTCTCGTTTCTGGAGCGGCTGGAGGAGTTGGCGGAGGCCTACTCAATCGATATCGACGAAGTGACGAAGGCTTTGCCGGAACTTCTTCACGGCCCGGCATTGCTTTGGTATCGGAACTGTCGCGGCAGCTGGCAGACGTATCAAGATTTCAAACGTCAGTTCGAAGATCAATACCTCCCTCCGTTATATCGACAAGATCTAGACGACGAGGTAAGGCGACGGACACAAGGCGAGCGCGAATCCATTCGTGACTACGTCGTAGCGCTCTCAACGCTGATCCGGAGGAGCGGTACGTTCTCGCAGCAGGGTAAACTCGACCTCATATACCGCAACATGCGCCCGGAGTACAAACTCGTCTTACGTCGTACCGATTTTTGTACTCTGGAGGAGTTGCTGGAAAGAGCTGAGGGGTACGAGGCGTATGTACGTTGCCGACAGACCTTCCGTCCGCCGCCACCACCTTCGATGTCGCTGATCCCGGAAACCGCCTACGTTCGCGATCGGAAAGTCGACCGGATCTACAGCAGCGCGGCAATTGATCACTGGTCGGACGACCATGCCGAGGAATCCGAGGTGACGGCCAGGTCACGACCTGGTAAACCCTTGGAGGACGGTCGCAAGACTACAACGTTTGCGCGGTCAAACTCCCGTGACCCTTCGCCACGAGACGACTACAGGCGAAGGCGGACACCGGACTCTACGAGAACCAGATCGCCCGGTACGACGAACGAACGAGCGGCAGGCTCTCGGCAATTCGTGTGCTGGAACTGCGACGAAACCGGACATCTGTTTCGCGAGTGTTCGAAGCCCAAGGTCCTGCATTGCTACCGCTGCAAGAGGGTAGGTATCTCGACGCGTCGTTGCAACTGCGGCTCGGGAAACGGACATCGGGTTCAGTCTGCGGGAGGTCGCCTGAGCCCCGTAGAACGAAACGTCGCACGACCTCCGAGGAGTGGAATCGCTGGCTCGGCTTCATAACGGAATTCACGGGGACCGTCAGCCGCGAACGCGCCCCCAGAGATGACCGACCCTTCGTCGACGTGGTCATCTCAGGTGAGACGTTCAGCGCCCTCGTCGATACCGGCTCGTCGGTCAGTCTGATTGGAGATCGCGCCGTACGTCACCTTCGGACGTGCGGCATCGTACCCGACCAGGCTGACGTCAACCTACGTATGGCCAACGGAGCGAGTTGCCGTGTCTCGGATCGGTACAGAGTGGACGGTGAAATCGTGGGCCAGGCGTACTCGTGGGATGCCCTGTATGTCCCGAACCTGAGTGTGGAGGTGGTACTCGGCATTCGGTGTATTACTGACCTCGCTCTTGTCAGTGTACACACCGCTGTACAGAACCTCCGCCACGACGACGTCCCCCCGTCCTGTCCGGTCAACGCTATTCAGACATTGACCTCCGACGAAGACACGCGACTCGCGGAATTCCTGGAACGCGAACTACCACTGTTTGACGACGTTTCGGGGAAGACGGCGTTGGCTGAGCACACGATACGGCTCAAAGAAAACGCCGCTCCCGTCAAGCAACGGTATTATCCCAGGAATCCCGCGATGCAAGCAATCATCGACGAAGAGGTGGCGACGATGCTCCGCGATGGTGTTATCGAACCATCGGATAGCCCTTGGAGTTCGCCAGTCGTGCTGACGAGGAAGAGCAACGGAAAGTTTCGGTTTTGCATCGATATGCGCAAAGTCAACGAATGCTCTGTCCCCGACGCGTATCCGCTGCCCAGAATCAACGCGATTCTGGAGAAACTACGGCCGGCGAGATACATCAGTACACTGGACTTGAAGCAAGGCTATTGGCAGGTGCCGTTAGCGAAGGAAAGCCGGCCGATCACCGCATTCACCGTACCCGGGTTAGGCCTATTCCAGTTTACGGTAATGCCCTTCGGACTCCATTCCGCCGGAGCGACCTTTCAACGCCTCCTGGACAAGGTCATCGGTCCGAAGCTTGAGCCGAAGGTGTTCGCCTACCTCGACGACCTCGTTGTGGTGTCCGCCACGTTTACTGAGCACCTGCAGATCCTCCGGGTGGTCTTCGAACGCCTTAGAAAGGCTGGCCTACGTTTAAACCCAGAGAAGTGTAACTTCTGCAAAAAGGAGCTCAGATATCTCGGACACGTCGTCAACAACGAGGGGATATCGACCGACCCAGAGAAGGTCCGTGCTATCGCCGAGTTCCCACGACCTACGAACGGCAAAACCCTACGGAGCTTTCTCGGTCTCGCGTCCTGGTACCGTCGTTTCGTGGACAGGTTTGCCCAAGTAACCGCCCCGATGCGACAACTGTTGAAG